CCCCAAAACCCCAAAACCCCAAAACCCCAAAACCCCAAAACCCCGTTCTTGGGCTATGAATTGAAATTTATTATTTCTTTTTACCCTTTGCTGGAACTGGAGGCTCTTCTGGATCAATTATCTCAAGTGAAATTTTCACTTCATTGAGATGATTATCAATGAAAGGTGTCACATCCTTTGCTAATATTTCATACTTTCCTGCTTTGAACTCTTCGCTGATATTATATGTGAGCCCTTCGATTACAAAGATTCCTTCTTTAGAGAGTACCTCGACTCTTGTGAGGTCTTCGCTTTGAGAGAATTTATATTCTGCCCAAATTTTTTCTGGCTCTCCTTCTTGTTCTTGGCCTTCTTCTAAAGGTTTGTCTTCAAATCTTCCTAAGCTAAAAGAAACTGCTCTTCCTGATTCTTCCTCTATTATGACTGGATCAGGAGTTACCATCTTGACCTCTGGTTCATCATTAGCTTTACCTTTCTTGGAAGCAGCTTGTTTATTTAAGTTCTTCTTCATCAGGAGGAGTGTCATCTTCATAGTCTTCTCCTTGAAACACCGATCTGAGTTCAATCCGAATAGGATCTGAAACTCCAACTTCATAAACTATTTTATTTGGATTTTCATCTTCTTCTGGTTCTCCTTTCTTGTTGTCTTTCTTCTTTTTATCTTCTGGTTCTTCTTCTTTTGGTTCTTGATAATACAAAAGTTGATTTGGAATCTTGGTTTGTTTATCATCTTCAAATCTGCCTTCATAAACATATACTCCTTTCATGGCATAGAATTTTCCTAATCCTTGTCTTTTCGCTTCAACAAATTCTCCTTCGTAGCACATAGAGGTGCTTAAATATCAATATTTTCCTTGGCCGTGGATGATTCCTTTCTCTACATTTCCATCATAAAGATCTCCGTTAGAAAGCCTCATAGATACATGACCTTGAGGGAAATGATACTTAAATTCTCCATCGATTACTTCTTTGCTGGGTTTTGTCCATTTGCCACCTCCATGTCTGAGGTTCATGTTCCAATCTCCAACATAAGATTCTCCTGTTTCATGATTTTCAAGTGTTCCATGGCCATGCTTCTCTCCTTTCTTCCAGTCACCCTTGTATTCTCAACCGTTAGGCCAGACTCTGATTCCGTAGCCATTGATTTGTCCCTCTTCAAAAGTACCTTCAAAAAAGCCTCCATCTGCAAAGAGTAGTTTGCCTTGACCATGCTTTTTGCCATCGACCCACTCTCCTTCATAAGTAAAGTAAGGATTGGAGTATTTATAGATTCCTTTACCGACTCTGAGGCCTGTGACTGGGTCAATGCCTCCAACGTATCTATCTTTTTTCTCTTTTTGTTCGAGATGCTCTCTGTTGTCTTCATCTTCCTCTTCTTCTTCAAGAATCCTGCTTCCTTCTCCATCAAAGGGTTCGTCTTCTGGAGCTAACATTTTATTCAATTTTTAAATTATTTTTGGGGTTTTGGGGTTTTGGGGTTTTGGGGTTTTGGGG